TCAATTGATATTATCCTGAAACACATATTTCCTCTTTTCCTCCACAACCTTCAACATCCCATTCTTCATCTCAGACTTTATCCCATCGGGTTTATGCAGATGCTCGAGTATCTTCTTACATATTCTTCATTCTCAAACTCTTTTTCACCTTTCCCTTTGATAACCATGGTGTTCTGCTCTACAGAGACTTTAACTTGATCGTCCTTGTCAAGTCCAGGCATGTCTACTTGGCAAATCCCATCCCCTCCTTATTCCGGCCCCAACTCCCCTTCCACAGCCTGCCGACATGAAGGGGTTGTCCATCATGTTCAGGACTTGGCTCAAACTACTTGTAGGGAAGAAGGGATCAAAGGCATCTGAACAAGAACCAATAATTTTTCGAGTCTATCAACAAACGGGAACAAGCATAACATAAACGGAAAAATTTTTCCTACCAGGGAATAAAATTTGAAAATCATTACCAAGGCGGTCAACAACCAACCATAAGGAGTCATTTCAGCGTTGGTATTGTAGGGAGCCACCGAACAGAGTTGGATGGGGTTCAAGAGGCGGTTGAACAGAGCTGCGCTACCAACAGCTCTCTTGAGGGCGAGTGAAGAAGGCATTGTTGAACGGTTTGCTTTGATTTTTGTATTGGGTATTATTATTTTCAATCGCATTGAAAATATTTTTAACACCATTTCATTTTGATATTATATTTTGCCTATACAATATGCCACCACCCGTGAAGTTCAAATTCGATCCTATCAAGAGGGAAAGTTGGGCGTGGAAGAAAGGAAATATAGAAATATAACTTTAACTTTGGTAATAATAACATAGAAAAATACAAAAACACAAAACATTACATTTGTGAGGAAAATGAGGTAATGACTAATATAGTTCCATTGCTCCCTCAGCATGTTTATAGTATCAACTTGTGCACCTAACAACTTGTATAAATGAATTATTTCATTTTTATGTCTTAGGCCTGCAAGAAGACACGTTCTTTGGTAGGCCAAACCAAGTTGGAAATGTGAGTTGCCTAAAAACCTGCTTGACTCCCAAGACAGTCAAATCCATTTTACACCTCCACTTTCACCCTTTAAAGAATTAACGCATTAAACTAGTACCCCAAAGGAGGAATGGTAATGAAACTAGGTTAGCAAAGAAAAAGAATGATTTCATTCGAGACAATTACTGTACTTGCCGTGAAATACCAACTCCTTGTACCAGTGTAATCGATATAAGCTAAAACTGTACTTGCCACGAAATACAAACTGCTTGCACCTATACCGCGTCCTCAAAAGATGTCTAACTGTCAAATACAACAAGATCTTGTGTTACAATAGACAGTGAAACTAACAAGTAATAATTCCTGAAGTACAGTAACATGTACTGTAACATACTGAGCTCACAATAAGCACAAGGAAACGTGTTTCTGTAACATATTTCAGGTGTGAATGCCTATAATAGAAGCTTCAGAAACTTATTAATGCTTTGCAACAAAGGAAGCTCAAAACTTTACTAGGATAAAAGATGGCAGCATTCAAAAGGTCCAAAATAGCCCAAATAAATGTAGAATTCATAACTTGAAATTGAAATATATGATTCTGTGATAGTACAGAAATTTTTAGTCTAAAGTACAA